CCGGCCCCCGGCCCCCCAGTTCAATTATCACCAGAGTTAAGACTAATCCCACAAGGGCTACAATCCCTTACTGTGAAAATCCAGCCACCTGGAGAGCAGGAAGCAGGTGAGAGCGATCAAACGTTCCCCAGGCTGGTTTCCATGGCGACAATGCACTGCCCTCGCCATGACATTTGGGGGTTCAGCTGTGGGAGCAAACGGTCCAAACGTGAGCCGAATAGACGAGCAGGCGGCGTGTCGGCCTCCTCTCCACCTGGTGGGCCCGAGGGGTCGTGTGCACGCCAACAGGATCCTACACATGCGTGTGTGTGTGTGTGCGCGTGTGTGGTAAACAGCACTTCCTCTCTGGCAGGACGCCGTCGGTCCACAGGGGAACGCTGAGGCCATCCATGGCTTTTCTCCACGGGGGGTTCTGGGGGGCACGAAGCTCAACCCGCGAGCCCACAAACTGTCGGTGGATACGAGTTGCTCAACAAAAAGGGGAAAGAACAGCGCGCGTCAACGAGCATCATGAGACGCTTCAGCTAACGTTCACAAGGACTCGTATCGGCTCGCTTTAGCTCTCACGCTAAGGATGGGGGGAGGTCTCAGGGGCCCAGATGTGTGTGTGTATATATATATATATATATATATATATATATATATACACACACACACACACACACTGGACATTTAGCTGTGAGCCAACCAGCAGGTATCGTGAGATCCAGCTGTGCTGGTGGTCCCTCGTTGGGTTTGTGGCAGATGTTCCATGTGTGGAGGAAGGCTTGCACGCGGTCTGCTGATCTCCTCGCCACATTAGGTCGGCTCATTGCGTTGCTGCCAAAAGCGGTCGTGGACCCAGATGACGCGGAAGCTCCGTGAGGTTTGAATGAAGAAGATAGAAATGATGTCTGTGGTTCAGCCTGAATTCCCCAAATCACTGATTACACGTGTGTTTCCAACCAGTGTGTTCTGAGGGTTAAACACGTCTTCCACGTCTAAAGCGCTGGCTTGTTTTTTCCAGGCAGAAATAAGGAGCGATAGATGTCATTTCAGCGTCAGTTGAGCAGATGGAGGCGGAAGACGGGGTGAACAAACACGTAGCCGCCGGCCGGCAGCCCCCCTCTCGGGTCCACATCTGTAAACGCGGCGAGCAAAACATCAGCCGGGCTTCCCACCTCTGCAGCTGGAACCGAAGACAAGAGGGAGGGAAGGAGAGCGTCAGCTGCTCGCAGCGACGGTCCGGCTCAGGTTCTCCATCAGCGTCCAAAACGCTGCCCACAAACAAATGGGACCGCTGTCCCCAGCGGTTTATGGTTATTAATTACATCTCCAATGCAGGTGGAGGTGATTGATGGCAGCGTGAGGGTGGAGGACGAGGCCTTCAGCGATATGAATCTGCACGCCTCATCCTGACGCTTCATCTCTGCAAAAGCTCTTCTGCAAACTTTTTCCATCCCTCACGAGTTGTAATTACTGATTATAAGAGAAGCCAAAGGAACCATTTGTTCCACAGCGGGGAGAAGGATCCTTCGCTTCATTCGACATTGTTGCGTTTTCTTCCGATTCCTCCTGATCTGACAGAGGTTTGGCTCTGCAGAGGCAACAACACGTGCATCCTTCATAGAAGGCGGATCGGTGGCATTTTGTGCTGAACGCAGCATCCATGTCTCATCAACAAGGAGTGTTTCCTCACCAGCTGCTTTGTCGCCGTGGCGACTCAGAGGAAGTGGAAGAGTTCATCTTTTGTTCGCCGGTTGTTTTGAGCATAAATAACAAACTTACATCATAGTCTGCTTAAATCACAGCGCCGGAAACAATATTAACGCGAGTGGCGTTTCACTTTTATCACTCAAATTTACATGAACTTTAATGAGCAGGGAACCAACCTGCCCCCCCACGGAGAAACAGATCCACTGAACAAATTAAGATGGAACATATATTTTATCCTCAAACATTATAGGAATGTGAACACGACAAAAACAAAAGGAAATTGACAATTTCTTGAGAAAAATGTATTTTGCTTATTTTTAAATCCATATTTACACGCACACGCATGTGTGAAATATACATTTTCAAATAAAAATGGACAAAAGAAGTGTAAAGTCTGGGAGCCGGCGAGGTTTGATTGTTACCGGCTTGCTGTGGCGGATCCTGAATGGCGAGGTAATGTCTCTATCGTCTCGCCGTGAAACGGCCTCATTGGAACACGTGACCGGCGGTGCAGCAGGATGACGGGCGGAGAGCGAGCGATGGAATCACGTTTAAAACATCACCCGACAAAAGTAAAGACATGGAGGCCGGTTGGAGGCCCGCTGGAGGTGGACGGGTGGAGGCATATAAATAAAAGGTCCTGGTTTCATATAAATTGTTTGTTAATTAATACACAATAAAGAACATCACAATCGTGTGTCTTATGACATTTGTGTCTCATCACTGTCGGTTGTGAACAAAGACAAGAATGTAAAGAACAAATGTCCTAAATAATAAAAGAACATTAAAAATGACCGTTTTCTTCTGCTTGATGGACAAAAAAGGCAAAGACGTGAAGAAATACGCCGTTATCAGAAGTAGCTCTCACCCTGACCTGTCAATCAAACAGTAACACCCTCAGCATGTCGGGGCGCATGCTTGGGGACGGCAGCACGCGACCCGAGGACACGCCTCAGAGTTCTTCTGTCCCGCAACATTTGAAGAACAAGGCGAGTTTCCTCCCTCGTCTGCGTCCCCCCAATCAACAAGGTCTCTGGTCCGGATCTCGACAATCGCTGCAATGCTCTGCAGCTTCTCGGCCCCTTGTATGAAGTCTAAATGATCTCATTTCACATCGACCTCGGCCGCTGCACAAGGACCCTGTGTGGCGGCGTGTCCCATGCGTGAGGTCAACGACGAGCAGAACTTTTTCTTTTTTTTCCTCCATTAAATGACCTCAAGAGAAGAGAAACGATAACTCGACTGCCAATGGACCCCTGGGGGATGTTGCAGCTCCACTGAGCAGGACTAAGGGGCCCCGTCGTTGCCAGAAACCATTACCCGCTGAGGACGCTGCACCGTGGAAATGAAATCAGTAAAATGGGCCGTAACTCGATTGCCTAAACCCCCCCCCGTCCTCGCAGAGCAGCGCTCGGACCTTTCGGCCTTGGGCTGCAGATCCTCAGATTGGACGGTGATTATTAATTAGCGGCGGATGACATCTGCTCGCGAGGGTCATGTTGGAGTCAACGGGCAGCTTCTCCCCTGCAGATCTTCACCCAGACGCTTAAACGCGTGCATTGAAAACCTCATTTAACTAAAGAAACGTGCTTCAAATGTGAAAAGTGTCGATTGTGCAGTGAAGGGAAGTGTTCCCACTCAGCCATCTGATGTATGTGTGTATGTTGTGTGTTAACGCCTTTATATCCTGCTGATTACTTTTATCTACATCAAAGCATCGCACGTTAGAAGAGTTTATTTTATCCACATAAAAGAACCAGTTTGGGAGCCGCCGAGGTGCCTGAGGGACCTCAAAACGTTCCTTCCCACAGAAGGTCTTCCTCCAGGGGCCTCTAGTCAACAAGAAGGGCCCCCTGGGGGGGGAGGGGGGGGGTACCACCGGTACGGCACCCTGCTGGGCTGACCCGGGTTCACCGGTGCTGCGTTACATCAGTCAGATATTTACGCAACGCGGTGACGCCGCCTGGTTCTACAGCGTCTGCTTAACGCTGCTGATCATAACCTGCGTACGTGTGTGTGTGTGTGTGTGTTAACACCCTCACACACACCCGTCCTTCCGCCGGTTAGAGCCGTCGGTGCGGCTTCATGTCGTTACATGTCTGAGTGAAACTACAGCAGAATGTTGAATGACAGGTGAGACGCATCAGCTGTCATGAACATATCGAAGGAACGAGCAGGAGGAGAAAGCTGCACATAGAAAAGGATTCCGACACGCGGATCATACAAAGCAGTATCTGCACTACACGGAACATCGGTATGTGAAACAATTCCAATGATCCCCAGAAACACGTCGCTGATGTGGAGTCATTCTGTCTCCTACCGGACAAATTAGCCCATTGTTACATTTTCATCAAATTACTTAAAGTAATTACCAACCCCCCCGTCGCACACCTGGACCACAGCCACACGTTTCCATTGATCCTGCTGAATCCAAAGAGAAATAAGCCCTCTCCAGTCTGACGGGGGTTGTGGGGGGCTGATGAGGAGACGGCTGGTAGAGACAGATGACCGACACCTCGGGGACCAGAAGGCCCCAGAATGCTGGTGATGAAGGAGTGTGAGGAGTGTGGAGGCAGTTTTTTTGTTATCTTATTTGATGGGTGGTTGGTACATGAGGAGGGGGGGGGGGGGCAGCTGTGGGCAGGCTTCTCCTCTACTGCCATCTGGTGTTCAGCGAGGTGTTACAACTCATTGGCTCAAGTTTACTCTATAAAGGTTAATTGACAGATGTTTGAATAATCGTTTGAATCATTGACAAGAAAAATAAATGGTCCCAGCATCTCAAATTAAAGATTTTTATATTATTATAAATATATTTATATATATATTCTTTTTTTTATTAATGAATCCATTCGTTCAAATTCAAGTTTAATATCGTTGAGGTTTGGACAACCATTAATGTGATAATAAATTTAAAAAAATTAAAAGAATAAAATAAGATAAAAATATAGCAAAAATGAACAACTTGAACTGATAAGAGAAGTACGTTAAAACCTGTACGTATATTTCCAAAGGTGAGACACGCCGTGGTGTCTGGGTCAGCGGGGGAGTCAAACTCGGATGGAGGAAGCTGGTTCTGTGGCGGGAGGCCTTGGTCCTGATGGGGCGGGACGGCTACGCTAGTTATCAGTACTATTGAAATAAACATTTATAGATAGACAAAACAAACCAGCAATATGTGAAGTCTTTGCACGTAGTGCTATTATTCATATATAATAATACATTTATTTCCTTTCCTGTAAGTAAAAACATCCGAGCGCATCTACAGAAGATGCTGCGCATGCGCGTTGGCTCCCTCTCCTCTCCTCTCCTCCTCTCCATGACTGACCGACAGTGACCTCAGTTTCTGCAGCACAACTTAAAGACATCCCGCAAACTGCGCTCACACACACACACACACGCACGCACAGCACGCGGCACCAGGAGAGATGGCCGGTATATTCGGGAAGATCTTCGTGGGCATTTACGTGGAGATAAAGCGGAGCGACGGTACGTAGCTTAGCTCCGCACCCCGCTCTCCATCCGGCGGGTCCGGATGAGAGAAGCTAACGTCAGCGCCGTTTGTGCTAAGCTAACGCGCCGCTCCAGCACCGTCTCTCCGTTAAATGACGCCGACGGGTGACGCGGTGCGAAACGGACATCGGATCGTGTTGTGACAGCCCGCCGATGTCGCCCGTCAGTCCGGCGGACTGTCGCCGGCCCGCCGGCCCCCGGGTAGCGGGCGGCGCCGGACGGACGGACGGACGGGCGGGTCCGTCCACCTGCGCCGCCGCAAAAAAAAAAATAAAAGAAACGAAAGAAAAAGCCCGGTTGCTCCCGCGCGCGGCCCCGCCCGCCTCCCGCAAACATGCATGCGGTTACCGGCACCCTGGCCTGTGCATGGGGGGGCTGATGCACGTCCCCATGCAGGGCCCCCCCCGCCCTGCATGCCGGCTTTATTACACCGAGCCAGCCCGCTGGTCCTCAGTGTTCACCTCCACCCGTCATGAGCCGCACCCATTAGCACCTCAGTGTCCTCGCGGTCGTTTTTGTCTTTTGTCCCTGCGTGAGGTGATTAGACGTGTTCGGGGTCAATCCGGCTGCGTCAATCATGTCTGCACACACACACGTGTATGAGTCTGTCCTGCATGTCCTCTCCCGCTGCAGGGCGAATACACCAGGCCATGGTCACGTCTCTGCACGAGGACAACGACAGCGTGACGGTGGAGTGGATCGAGAACGGAGACACCAAAGGGAAAGAGGTATGAGAGCCCCTGCGTCATGTGATGTCCCCAGTCGGTCCAAACACACGCATGTAGTCGCTAGAAAAGTGCACACTGATTATTGGTCACCAGGAGCCGCTGGCTTCCACCACATGATGTCACTTCCTGTCTTCTTCTCGCTTCTACAGCTGACAGCAGGTGTTTGTTTGTTTGTTTCTCAGATCGATCTGGAGAGCGTCTTTGCTATGAATCCAGATGTTGCTCCTGATGAGGAGATCCCACAGAGTCCCGAACCTCCTCTTCCTCCCTCTAATGTCGCCAAAACCAGCAAACTCCCCAAGGTCAGTTCCCGGCCAGCGTCTCCTCCCCGCCGTGTCCACGGAGGAGTGTTTTACTTTGGGCGTCTTCACATATCTAGTTTCTGAGTAACGGAAATCACTACAGAGGCTGGAGGTCAATATACAAGTTACTATTATAAAACATTATCGCTATTATAATTATGATCAACAATGTTATTTTTATTTGTGAACAAACTATTGATTTTACAAAACAACACTGCCAGTAGAATAAAATGTTCAGACAAACACGGACGAGTGAATGAAAGATTCTACAGCGAGTCTTAACTTCAAGCTTTTAGTGGGTTTTCTTTACTAACAGTCAGACAAAAGGAGGCGAATCAGCAGTTTTAGGCCCAAATATTTCCATAACATCTATTTGCTGCTGTTTGACCTGCGTGGAGTTTGCGTTTGCTCATTGAGGTCCGATACGGAGCTTCTCCGTGGGTCTCTAAAGGAAAACCTCCTCCTGAACAATGTTTCTGCTTTCAGACCAAACGGATCACGTCCACAGCGAAAGCTGAGATCCTCCCGCGGGAGAACAGAGGTTTTTAATGATCTTCCTTCTCAACCCAAGACAAAAAGACATGAACAGCTGTGTGGTAACATGCGTGTACACGTGGAGGATCTTCACTGACGTTCTCCCCCCCCCCAGCTGCAGCAGTGGGGACCACGCGTGCCCGTCCCAGCCAGCACAGCCAGGCCGCCGAGCCGCCGCCGCCCCCGCCCCCGGCCATCGCCCCCCAGTCCGCCCTCAACCAGACGCTGCTCCAGCAGCAGAACGGTGAGTCCCCCCCCCCCCGCCGGGTCGCACGCTTTAACGTTTAATCACATCTCAAAAGAAGGAAAAAAAAGGCGCAGAAGGGAGAAGCGTGATGTCATCGTCTGTTGCAGAGGTCACGACCCGGTGATGTCACGCCGCCGCACAGCTGCGAGGCCGTCAAAGGCTCTTTTCAGGGTCGCTCGCGGTTCGGCCGAGTCGTAATGAATGTCTGCTACTGTGGAAATAAGACTTAACTGGAGCTTTGATCGCTGCAGAGACAAACACGCCTTCTCATTCAATTCAATCCGTTTGTTCGTTGCGATCATCTTTGCTCCTCTTTTCCAGCGCGGAAGAAATCCAGCTGTGTGAAGGAAGTTGAGAAACTGCAGGAGAAACGAGAGAAGAGACGACTTCAGCAACAAGAGCTCAGAGAGAAGAGAGCGCAGGTGAGCGCGCGCACGCACACACACGCACACGCACACGCGTGTCTTTTTGGGGGCGCGTTTCATTCGACACCTGGGCTCTGTTTCAGGAGGTGGACGTCCAGATGCCAAACTATGAAATCATGTGTATGATCAGAGACTTCAGAGCCAGTCTGGACTACCGGCCCTTAACCGGCAACGATCTGGTGAGTCGCCGTCGGCCTCGCGTGCTCCCGGTTATTTCCTCCCGATACGGAACATACATGTGAGACTTTGGGCGTTTCAGATCGAGGAGCACAGGATATGCGTGTGTGTGCGCGCACGGCCCCTCAATAAGAAAGGTGAGCGCGGCGCTCTACAAACCGCACGCCCCTTTTTCCCTTCCGTCCCAGCGCTGACCGTTGATCTCTCGCCGCAGAACTGACCACCAAGGACCTGGACGTGATCACCATCCCCAGTAAGGACGTGGTGATGGTCCACGAGCCCAAGCAGAAGGTGGACCTGACCCGCTACCTGGAGAACCAGACCTTCAGATTCGACTACGCCTTCGATGAGAACTCCACCAACGAAATGGTGTACAGGTAATGTGTTTTTATCACTGCATTAGACGAGATCTGACGAACGATAGCAGAAGACCACGACTCCCATGATCCCTTGCTCCTCCACACGCTGTGCTCTTCCTCCGTCAGGTTCACGGCTCAGCCGCTGGTGGAGACCATCTTTGAGCGAGGGATGGCGACCTGCTTCGCGTACGGACAAACAGGAAGTGGGAAAACACACGTGAGCGCTTGGACCTGGAACTTGATGGTAGTTTGTAGTTTTGATGCTTCTTTAATGTTCCAACACCCTCGTCTCCTTTCAGACGATGGGAGGCGACTTCTCAGGAAAGAACCAGGACTGCTCCAAAGGGATCTACGCTCTCTCTGGTCGGTTTCTCCCATCACGTCGCTGTCGTCACCGCTGGTTACTGCATCCGACTCCATTTAAGTCTCTTTGTTTCTCTCCTTCTGCAGCCAGAGATGTTTTTCTCATGATAAAGAAGCCAAATTACAAGAAGTTGGATCTTCAAATCTTTGCTACATTCTTTGAGATTTACAGCGGGAAGGCAAGTGTCTTTTAAACCTGATTAGCATTGAATTCATTTGATAAGAGTTTGCGTTGCCTCCTTTTAAAGTTATGAGCCGACGTTCATCAGGCAGAAGCAAAAGTAGTAATATTTGAAGTGAGGAGTGACTTAGAGATGCAGTACACGTCTGCACGGTGATTGACAGGTGTCTACCAGAGAAGCCAAATTCGTCTCTGGCAGAGACCTGTCAATCACCCTGTAGCCCCGCCCTTGAGCACACCAATGGACCATCTTTTACTATATCTTGCTGTATTGGAGAAGACCGTGCTGGTCACTACAGAGAAGTAGAGTCATTTCCTCATAGACGTCTATGGGAGCAGAGGAGTCGCCCCCTGCTGGTCACTACAGAGAAGTAGAGTCATTTCCTCATAGACGTCTATGGGAGCAGAGGAGTCGCCCCCTGCTGGTCACTACAGAGAAGTAGAGTCATTTCCTCATAGACGTCTATGGGAGCAGAGGAGTCGCCCCCTGCTGGTCACTACAGAGAAGTAGAGTAATTTCCTCATAGACGTCTATGGGAGCAGAGGAGTCGCCCCCTGCTGGTCACTACAGAGAAGTAGAGTAATTTCCTCATAGACGTCTATGGGAGCAGAGGAGTCGCCCCCTGCTGGTCACTACAGAGAAGTAGAGTCATTTCCTCATAGACGTCTATGGGAGCAGAGGAGTCGCCCCCTGCTGGTCACTGCAGAGAAGTAGAGTCATTTCCTCATAGACGTCTATGGGAGCAGAGGAGTCGCCCCCTGCTGGTCACTACAGAGAAGTAGAGTCATTTCCTCATAGACGTCTATGGGGAGCAGAGGAGTCGCCCCCTGCTGGTCACTACAGAGAAGTAGAGTCATTTCCTCATAGACGTCTATGGGAGCAGAGGAGTCGCCCCCTGCTGGTCACTACAAAGAAGTAGAGTCATTTCCTCATAGACGTCTATGGGAGCAGAGGAGTCGCCCCCTGCTGGTCACTACAGAGAAGTAGAGTCATTTCCTCATAGACGTCTATGGGAGCAGAGGAGTCGCCCCCTGCTGGTCACTACACAGAATGCAGCTTTAATGCTTATACTTAAATAATAATAATATGCTTTCTGGTTGGCTGTTTTATTTGATGAAGATGACGTGGTGGTTTGGGTAACCATGGAGCAGTGTTACTTAAGTCCACGTGATCTTGTGTTTCCATCCCACCTGAACAGACTGTTTCTCTCGTTTGTACTTTGTGTGGGTTGTATTTGTACTAGAGGGCATTACCTTTGGCAAGTACTGCAAACAGTACGTGACAGCAGCCTGAATCAGATACAGAGTGACATCGTAAAACAAAAGACACCTTCTCTTTTTCTCTTAATTGATTCGAATGGAATTGCAAACAATTCATCATTTCTTTTAAAACCAGGATGTACAGCAGCTACATGCTGACTTCACAACACAGAATGAGCCTCTTCAAGAAAAACATGGATATCTGTTGAGAGGACGATGTTGATGGATAGTCAATGAGTGGAGCGGATATAAGTTGATTAAGTGGTTTAAAGATGAAAAATAACAATAACTACTGGTTCTCCCTCATTTGCGTCTTCGGCCTCAGGAAGCGTTTGTGTTTGATTCTCCATCACAGAACAGCTAACGTGGATCCTTCATGCATCAAACGCAGCTCCGATCTCCGGGACAGAGACCGAAACACAAGTTCATCTAAAAACACATCGCACAAAAGTCAAAACTTTAAATGATGAGAAGTTTGAACTTTTACAGAAAGGTCAAGAAATAAAATGAAACATATTGTCCAGTAGAATTTCCTGTTTATATATGAAGGAAATATTTTGGAGTATAAAACTATTTCACGTGGACTTTGTGCACAGCCTCGAGGATCCGGGAACCAGCGACCTGGAGGAGTCCAGAGACGAAGGCCCCGCCCCCCAGGAGAACTACGATGACATTTTCTTACACTATGTTGTCTTATCTGTCTTGTTGTCCATTGTCTTACTGCCTGATGTTATGCACCAACCGCCAGGTCAAATGCCTTATATGTCTAACATATTTTGGGAATAAACTACATCAGGAATATTTATGTGCTATTTAATGTCCACATTTGTGATATAAAGCACAATCATCCCGTCAAAACCCGTCACACCTGTGCTCCGCTCACCTGTAGGGGAGATGCAAATAGACAAAACGAGGAGGAGGAGCCGGCAGGTCCGTAACACCCCCTCCCTTAAGACAGAGGCCCCTAAAGGCCTCTGCAAAAAAAAATGTTCGAAACCCCACACAACAAAATAAACAAAACATTCTTAATTTTTTTAAATGATTTCTATAAACTCAAAATGAGCACTTAACTTTCGTTTCGGTATGTTGACAGCCCATTCACATGGACTGGACACAGGAACCCTTCTGTCCACAGGCCAAAAACCACTCTACTCTCCAGCAGCTCCAATCACCCTCCCGCATACCAAGAGCTCCCGCAAATCCCGGTACCTGGAAAGCTACATTTAAGGAGATTAAGCGGAAGAAGAGTGGAGAAACAGGAAGAGAGAGAGATAGAGGCCAAGGCAAAGCATTCACTCCAGCCCACCCGGAGCACGGGACAAAGCGTCAGCCATGACATTGTCCACGCCCCGAATGTGCCGTATGTGCAAATTGTATGGCTGCAAAAATAAAGCCCAACGCATAAGGCGCTGACTAGGACTCTTTAAAGTGTGGAGGAATGTCAGCGGATTGTGATCCGAGTAGACAGTGATAGGAACAGCGCCCCCAGCTAGATACACATCAAACTGCTGTAGACCCCAGATTAACGCCAATGTTTCCTTCTCAATAGTCGAATAATTCAACTGATGACAATTAAACTTTCTTGAGAAGTAACATGTTGGCCTATCCACCCCCTGCTCATCACTCTGCAGGAGCACCGCACCAGCCCCCACATGGCTTGCGTCAACCTGCATCTGGAAAGGCTGATCAAAATGGGGTGCCATCAAAACTGGGGCAGAAGTCATCAACAACTTGACATTATCAAAAGCAGTTTGAGAGGTCACAGTCCATTCAAACTTCACTTTATCTTTTAACAGATTAGTCAAAGGGGCTACTACTGTAGAAAAGTTTGAACAAAAGCTGCGGTAATACCCTACCATGCCCAAAAACCGCCGCAACTCTGTTTTGTTGGTAGGGACAGGAAACTTATCAATAGCCACCACCTTAGCATGGACCGGCTTCACTTGCCCCTGCCCTACGATCTTCCCCAAGTATGCAACTGTAGCCTGGGCAAACTCACACTTGGCTAGATTTACAGTGAGGCGAGCATCAACAAGCCTAGAAAAGAGAGCCCGAATACGGTCCAGATGTTCAGACCACTCCTCGCTATACACAACCACATCATCGAGGTACACAGCGCATCCCTGCAACCCAGAAACAACACGGTTCATAAGTCGTTGAAATGTGGCTGGAGCATTTCGTAACCCGAAACTCATAACCGAATAGGAATATAACCCAGATGGTGTTATAAAGGCTGAAACTTCCTGAGCTCGAGATGACAATGGGACTTGATAATATCCTTTCAATAGGTCAAATTTACTCACAAACTTTGCTGATCCTACCCGATCAACACAATCTTCAACCCTTGGGAGTGGAAAAGAATCTGATTTTGTGATGTTATTCAATTTACGATAATCGGTACAGAATCTATTAGTCCCATCAGGTTTACTGACCAATATACAGGGTGAAGACCAACTTGAATAGGAAGGCTTAGCCAAACCATTTTCCAACAGGTACTTCACCTCTGCCTCTAGGTGTCGCTGTTTGTCTTGTGACACCCGATAGAACCGCTGTCTTATTGGTTCTGCATCACCAACATCAATATCATGCTCAATTAAATGAGTACATGATGGTGTATCTGAAAATAGAGAAGGGAAATCAGACAACAAAGACGACAGTTCTGATGCACGCTCCCCTGGCAAATGTCCAAACAATGTATTTAACTCTGCCAGTTTCTCAGAGTTCCTCAGACGAGGTTTCAGCACACAGTCATCAGGTCCTACCACATCTTCACCACTACTTTCTGCCCCCATGTAGGGAGTCTCAATGGCCCTAGGAGCCCCGACAACTGCGGCTAAAGAAACTGGAATAACCAGGTCACTAGACTCTGCTGCCGCAGAGACTGGAAACCTGCTGTAGTAGGACTTCAACAGATTTATGTGACAGAGTTGAGTGGAACGCCTACGATTGGGTGTAGAAAGTAAATAATTGAGGTCTGACACTTTTCGAACAATCTTATAAGGACCTGTATATTTTGCAAGGAACGGAGAATTTGCTATCGGTAATAATGCTAATACCTGATCCCCAGGACTGAACACCCTTGGTTCAGCTCGACGGTCATACTGTTAAGGTTTCGGAAGCTCTCGAGGGAGGACTCAATCCTTTGTTCTCGTCCCGGCCGGAAACGAGGACACGAATGAGTCAATTCGTTTAAATTCAAAAATCAAAAGTTATTTAATAACTGAACAACGTAATAGGGATTACAATTACAAAGTGAAATACTAAGCGAACAGTGGAATATTTCGCGAAATAGAGAATCCTCTGAGCAAGTCTGAAGTGACTTATCAACGCGGCTGCAGGAGAAGTTCTAACAGTCTTTTCCCCGCCATGGTCCTTTGAAAACTCTTGAGGTGTGTCTTCCTTGGTGCATTTGAATGTCATTGGCCTCTTCTCCAAAGGGTCACCTCCTCCATTGTCCCCTTCACGTCGAGGTGTGATGCTGCAGCTGTAACCTGAAACCTCTCTGTCCATCTGTCCCTCACACTCCAATGCACTCAATGTAGATACAGTTGGCTTTATGCCTCAATGAGTGAATTTAACAAAGCATACATCGTTTAAGTCTTCATCTTATAACTAGTACACTTTCATTACAACAACCCATTATTAATGATCACCGCTCATCACACTTCATCATAAGATCCAAGACTTTTGCCTCAGTCGGCTGCCTTACATTAAGTTGTTCATTTTATTACCTGACAGGAGAAAAAACTCCCAAAAAACCCTTTTTGGGGATAAAATTGGGAGAAATCCATAAAGAACGGCAATTGGCATCCGTCCCCAGGTTTTAACATCACATTGTGACAGAATGTTAATGTGTACAGTGTTTATATGATTTAAATGACTATGAATTGTGTTTGATTGAAATTGCATTCACTTCATCTAACATGTTAATGTAATAACTAATATCTAACATCACACAAACTATAATTCTAACACTAAACATCATTACACGTACTACAATTCTATGACTAGGGGTGCACTTCTGGCTTAAATCCCT